AAACCAAAGACCTGAGAACATAGATATACCATCTGTACAAAAAAATCAACATCTTCTAAGACTTCATGAAGGTCAATATCACAAAATATACCTCTAAATCTTTGTCGAGTAAACTATTTTTCTCGTTCTTCAATGTTTTGTTACGTGATGAGTTCCCACAAAAAAAAGCTGATCGCCGCTCCACGTCTTTTTTTTGTTCTGTTAATGAAGATCGTGTTTTCAGAAAAACCTCGTCGCCGGCGTGTTTCCTTTTTCTTTTCCGTCAGTTTCAACTGAATTAATATCTTTTCTATCTTGAATCCTGAAATTGTGCGCTACAAATATGGAATGGTTGTTCACCCTACCCGTAATTGTTTTTAGGCATGAATATAGTTACTTTTTATCTCTTAGGTATATACACAAATTTATTGGCTTAAATGATAATGTTGCAATTACTTAAAAAACGGTAAGCATACATAAAAATTTCCCTAAAAAATATCCAAAAAAAAAAAGTGTCGGTTTCACCATAAAATAATAGAAGTTGTGTTAAAAAAACAAGAGCTTACCATTTTACTTAAGCTACCCAATATAAATAGTAAGATAAACTTAGAGTAAACTTTAACCTTCAAAGCAAATCCTTCACGCGGTGTGAGCGTAAACTCGCAGACTGGTCAATGTTGTTTCCTCCATCCAATGCATCGTCATATACGCACAATCAGAGAAAAACTAAGTATAGTAAGGAAATTTGATAGAACAAAGAATTTAAGTATCACCAGGTAAGTGGTACTCTAGAATCTTCCACTATTTATGTATTCTCTCAGCCCAATTCAGCTGCTTCACCTGTAATTGGGGCATGGACTTATCATGTGATACATGGACAATACATCTAAATACATAAAATCCATCTAAGGAAATATAGGTTTCTCGTTAAGGTTTGTAAACTCATCTATGTGAATTTCCACTGCAATCACATGGCAGATGGATTATTCAAATAATATACCCAGAATTATATGAAACCAACCTAACAGAGTTGCAAAGTGTAATTTATAAATATATATTAACTACTCATTAGAAAATGAAAGAAAATGGGTAAGAACAAGACTTTCTAAGATGTACTCACTGTTTCTAGAACTATTAGATTTGCATTGCGGCTGCCGGAGGAAGAAGCTTCGTGTGTCCAATCATACATTGATAAAGTCTTGTGCTTACCCGTCGGGGATGCAAGTCGTGTCTCCCCCTCTCTCTCTGTCCCCGGCTTGCATCCCCGACGGGTAAGCACAAGACTTTATCAATGTATGATTGGACACATGAAGCTTCTTCCTCCCGGCTGCCGCAATGCAACCACCGCTGGCGAAAAGTTTGGCAATGGCCGACCTTTCTACTGCATAACGCATAGATAAAAAGTCGGGCAAACTCTTACTGAAATATATGTAAAACAGATAAGGCTGGACTTAGCTTCTGCTTGGATTTGAGAAGAAAAACCACTTACAAACAGCCACTCGTATGTGGTAGGTGAAGAGCAACAATTGGCTGTGCATCTTCCTAAGTTCCAACCATAAGCATTATGATTTGTAGTAAAGGATGGAGGATTATCCTGAATGTTGCATCAAGCGGCTCGTCACCCACTTCACCGTATACACCTTCATTCCAACTCCAAGATTTTGAGCCTCAACATCTGTTGGGACTTTAAATTCTACAGAGATCCCATACATGTATTCTTTTATCAATTTCAGATGCATTGATGACGAAAATCCCATACATGTAGTGAATTCAGGGTAGGCCATACGTGAGTGACATTCATCATATTTGCATGCATTATGAGTGATATATAGTGATATTTGGCCATGATTATCGTGTGATTGTGCACCATTTCGTTTTATTTATTAAACTATGATAGAGGTGTTTTTGTCGTTGTTTTTGCAGGAAATATGCCCGGAAATGCGTTGGAGATGGAATCGGGATGAAAAACGGCGAAAACGGGTGCAGAAGAGGTCACACGACTCGTGTGGATAGTGACACGGGTCGTGTGGGTTGAACAAACATGAGATGCAGCTACGGCATTTTCACACGAGTCGTGTGGGTCGGGACACGAGTCGTGTAGCCTCACACGACTCGTGTGACCCGGTCGTGTGAGTGCTCGTGTGAGTTTGGGAGTTTGCCGAAAATTGGTGAAAAGTCACACGACTCGTGTGGCATGTCACACGACTCGTGTGACGCGCAGACCAGACCTGCGGGGAATAGGATTCTTACGCGTTTTCTTCCCTTTTTCGACCCTGAATGACCCTACAGTATAAAAGAGGCCTTAGGAACTCGTTTTTGCGATTTTTGACACCATTGGAGGCCTAGAGAAAGCACGAAACACACGAGGGATTCGAGGAAGTCAAGATTGAAGATCCGGGAACTAACGGCGATAATAGTTCTTCTTTCTTTTCTCTTTTTCTTCTTCATTGAACTCATGAATATATTTATTTTGAGTTTTGAGAATATGTTTAGTAGCTAAACCTTTTAGGGATTCTAGGATTTGCGAGTACTCGGATTATTTTATGAAGTGATTGTGTTTATTCATTCCGGTTTATCATTCGTTTATCAATTTCTCGTGCTTTTATTAATTGTGTGAATATAAGGGCCCGTATTTATGCATGTTTGTGATTGACTTGAGACCGAGAGGAGATAGTTGATTGCTAGAATTGGGAAATTCATAACGTAAGAGACTAAACAGACCGAGAGGTTGATAGAATCTTGCGAGGGAACTAGAATCTTAGGAGCTTATGGGAGTTGATTGTTCATCTTGAGACCGAGAGGAGATAGATAACAATTAATATCTACGATTTAACTTGTTCGAGAGAAAGGTGTAAATTACTTTAGTGATTATCCCTACGAATGGTAGAATTAAATAAGGTTTGAATGAATAAATAATCTTTGTTAGAATAATCCCGAGGAAAGCATAGCCTAGAATCTATTTTCTCATTCTTGATTTATCTTAGAACAAGCCTTTATAGTGTTAGAATTTATTTTGCAATCATTCATTAGCTTAGAATAAAATCACCATTTAAATTTGCATTAGACTAAATAATATTTAATCGTTTACATTTTGATACTTGGTTAATTTTGACAACAATCTCTGTGGAATACGACCTTGCTCGCCACTCACTATAGCTATACCGTACACTTGCGGGTAGTGAAAATATTTTGCGAACAAGTATTTGGCGCCGTTGCCGGGGATCGAACCCGGGTCTCCTGCGTGACAGGCAGGGATACTCACCACTATACTACAACGACTGGCGCCGTTGCCGGGGATCGAACCCGGGTCGTCCGCGTGACAGGCGGAAATACTCACCACTATACTACAACGACTGAGAGGTGCAATGGAGGAACAAGGTGAAGAGAGGTACAGACAGCTCCAAGAGCAACTGGCAGAGCTACAACGCCAGCTAGCCGAGCAGCAGGCTCAACAGGAGACAGGACCACCGGTGCGGAGCATCTTCCAACCTCAAGCTGACCAAGTATATGGAGGAGGTCACGGGCCGAGAATTGCAGCTAACACTTTTGAGTTGAGCCCATCCTTGATTCGTATGGTTCAGCAAGAGCAATTTGGGGGAGGTGCTATCGAGGACCCGAATGCGCACCTGGCGCAATTTCTGGAGATATGCAGTACTGTGAAGTACAATGGAGTCCCGGAGGATGCTATTCGCCTCCGCCTTTTCTCTTTCCCTCTTAGAGATAAGGCGAAGGTTTGGTACAATTCTCTGGAAACCGGGCAGTGACATCATGGGAGGAAATGCGTCAGAAATTTCTCTTGAAGTTCTTCCCACCGAGTAAGATGTTGAGACTTCAGACGGAGATCACTCAATTCAAGCAACAAGATAACGAGCCTTTATATGAGGCTTGGGAGCGCTACACGCAACTCCTTCGGACGTGCCCACAGCATGGTTTTTCGGAGGAGCACCAGATTTGCTACTTCTACAATGGATTGAGTGGCCCGATGAAGGCCATGGTGGATGCCTCAGCTGGAGGTGCTCTCTTGGGAAGGCGACCAAATGACGCGAAGCGGATTCTTGAGGAGATGGCTTCGAATAGTTACCAATGGCCGGTTGAGAGGACTATGCTTAGGAGGGTCGCGGCGACTAATGAGACGGACTCAGTGTCATCTATTGCGGCTAATGTGGTGGCATTGTTGATGAATAACTTGCAAGGAGTAAAGACTGAGAGTGTAGGAGTTGGAGAACCGGTCGAGGATGTGAATTATGTGAATAATCGGAATTTTGGAAATTTTCGAGGGCCTCAAGCAAGCAACAGTTATTACCAAGGCAACCGGAATCACCCCAATCTCTCGTATGCGAATCCGAATAATGCTCTACAGCCACCTCCGGGATTTTCGGTGACTAATGGGGTCATCAATGAGCCAAAGAAGCCACCAATCGAAGATGTGCTAGCCTCATTCATGACTAGCACACAGTCATTTATGGACCAGACAAAACAATTACTGAGCGCGAATGACGCACGTTTTGTGTCAATAGAGAATCAACTGAAATCGGTGCAGCAGCAGATTGGGCAAGTGGCCACGGCAGTTGGGAGTCAACATCAGAAGGGACAATTTCCGAGCAACACAGAGGTGAATCCGAAGGAGCAGTGCAAAGCCATTCGTCTAAGGAGTGGCATGGAGCATGAGGGCCCGAGGATGCCGTCTGATGAGCCGGAAACAGTCGTGCATGAGGAAGGCAAGGAAGAGGAAGAAGTTGAGGAAGTAGTAGTGGAGCCCCCAAAATCGTTTACAGGGGCTGAGAAGCCAATATCTATTTCTAACACTTCTACTCCTAATATTCCTTTACCTTTTCCTCAACGTTTTGCAAAGAAAAAAATTGACGAACAATATGCCAAATTTCGTGAGATATTTACTAAAGTTCAAATAAATATTCCACTTGTTGATGCATTGCAGGAGATGCCCAAATATGCCAAGTTCTTGAAGGACATGGTATCTAGGAAGAAGAAGCTCAAGGCGTATGAGAAGGTGAATTTGACAGAGGAGTGTAGTGCTATGATCCAAAAGAAGATGCCTTTCAAACGCAAGGATCCTGGGAGCTTCACAATAGCATGCATCATAGGAGGAAAGCGATTTGGGAAGGTGTTGTGTGACTTGGGGGCGAGTATTAATCTGATGCCATTATCCATTTTTAAGAGGTTGGAGATTGGGACGATTAGGCCCACGACGATTGCATTGCAAATGGCGGATAGGTCCTTGTCTTATCCAAAGGGGATTGTGGAAGACGTACTGGTGAAAGTCGAGGGGTTTATCTTCCCGGCTGATTTTGTGGTTCTTGACATGGAGGAGGACAAGGAGGTTCCGCTAATTTTGGGTCGTCCATTTCTTGCGACCGGGGGAGCATTGATTGATGTGAAGAATGGCGAGCTTACTCTCCGAGTTGACGACGAGAGCATCACATTTTCCATATATCAGGCGATGAAGAGTAGTGATGAGAATGGTGAGATCGAGGAATGTAAAGTGATTGAAGTTGTCGAGGCTTCCTTCGACAAGGACATGATTACTTCCTCGTCTAAAGACCCTTTTGATCTATGTGTTCGAAAATCATTATTTGCTTCTTCTTCGTTTGATCCTTTTCAAGAAAAATTATTTAAATGTGTTAATGTGTTGGATTGTTGTAGGGAAATCCCGAAGAGACAAGCTGCATTTTTGGAGTTGAGACGTGATGAATCGGGAGGAACTACAAGCCAAGGAGAGAAGAAGGATGGAGTCCCGAAGTTAGAGTTGAAGCCTTTACCGGAGCACTTGAAGTACGCATATCTTGGAGAGAATGACACGTTTCCGGTAATCGTTTCTTCTTACCTTTCTAGTTCGGAACTTGAGAGATTATTGAGAGTCTTGAGAGGGCATAAGTCGGCGATTGGGTGGTCGATTAGTGATTTAAAAGGTATTAGTCCCTCTATTTGCATGCATAGAATTTTGCTTGAGGATAATTATAAGCCATGTGTTCAAAATCAACGTAGGCTAAATCCAATTATGCAAGAAGTAGTAAGAAAAGAGGTCCTTAAATTGTTAGATGCTGGGATGATTTTTGCTATTTCTGATAGTGAATGGGTTAGTCCTACACAAGTTGTGGCTAAGAAAGGGGGGATGACTATTGTGAAAGATGAGCATGATGGTGTTATAGCTACTAGGCTTTTGACGGGTTGGCGTGTTTGTATTGATTATCGTAAATTAAATGCCGCTACTCGTAAGGATCACTTTCCTTTGCCTTTTGTGGATCAAATGCTTGATA